TCATTTTTTTTCTGTTTGCTGTTTGTACCCTGACAATCATCATGGTGTTTGGGTCAAAGGTCAATGAACAGGTAAAGTAATTCATAATGGAGATTTTCGAGTTTTAACCTGGAGTAAAGTTAGAGTAGTAGTAGTAGAACGTTTTTTTCTAATGTTTGCATAAATTACCTGCGTCACAGCTTCACCCAAAATTCACCACCAAAGCTGCATATCAATGTTTATTCTATGTCTAACCTTAAGACTTAATCTAGATCTTTTATCATTTCTCATCTCTTTGTTTACCTAATTTATTCCAGATTCACAGCTTTCAAAAGGACTTGGAGGCATTTCCAATTTCAAAAGACGAGGAAGTAAAGGTGATTCACGCCTAAAATAATCAATCACGAGTCGTTTTGCTGTCGGTGCGTCTCCCCTCAGCTTTCTGTCAGTCTCTCTGTACGCCCCTGCTTGCCTGTAGTTTCTAAACCGACCTGTTCATCATAGATGTGATCTATGCATGCCAAATATAACAAATAATAGAGTAAGTAAATTTGATAAGTAAGGCATGGAGCTTTCAAGTGAGGGTGTTATTAAACTTTGGATCAGTAGACGGCGGAACCTCCGGAACCTGATATTTTTGGTAAAAGAATAGTAATGAAATAAAAGATAAAACTGAAAGGACCTTAACACTGTTTTAAGTTTTGTTTTCGGGTATAAAGATTACTAGAAAAGGAAAATATGTTTTAAATGTCCTTGACGTCCAACTTTAACTGTGGCGGCATTCACTATACAAGGGTATGTAATGTCACAAGGTACAATCAGCACTCACCTTCCCCGTGTGTTAATAATTGAACCATAATTTGAAAGCAGTTTGGGTACCGCGATATCGAGTAACACCTCCTTTACGCTGGAATTGGCGGCCTTTAATTGTTTTTCATTGAACATGATGCTGGAATGAGATCACGATCGTAAAGTAATATCATCGCCTGAGATGCATTGTTATCGCGAAACTTATATTATTGTCATATTGAGTTAGTTACCTGTGAGTGTTTGTACGTTTCATTAGTCGTATCGTGTACTTGCGGTTGATGTTTGTACCGTTGCGTGATGTTACGTAATTATGTCGAGTAATTTTTTCAGGTTTTGTGTATAACTTTAGTCCTTTAGATCAATTTTTATGTCCACTTTTTTTAAAAGAAACAGCGTCTTTGTTTTTCGTCTGTTAAGCAATGCACCGTTAAGGTATATATTTTCCTTATTTGTAAATTTTCACTCTCTAATATATATTTTCCTCCTCGTGTTCAGTTAGTACCTAAACGTTTGGATGTTTTCAATCAAATGATGAACACAATTACGCTTGACCTTGGTTATATGCCTGTAGAAATTCGGGTTGTTCGGGGCGTCCGAACTCGCGATTCACAGCGGTTTGCCTCCAGTGGATTCGTTGGTTGGCGTTACTCAGACACATCTTGGAAAGATTGTGTAGAGGACTAGGCAGATAAACTAAAAAAAAACCCTCAATGCAAAAGAACAACTATTTGAGTGAGGTGAATTTATCCTTATTCAAAACTACAACAGATATTTTTAAGGTTGAGAGCGCGAATGTTCATTTTCATTCAAATCCTTATATTTCACCCATTACGCAACGCTAACATATTTGCATATTCACAGAGGCTCACTGTGTGAGCTTGGGTTTCCTGTGAGTTTCCTGTGGTTGACTAGATTGAAAAAAAAAATTTCTCTTTCAACTTTATCTTCTTTATACCCGAAAACGAAATTTCGAAAAGTGTTAAGGTATTTTTAGTTTTAATTTTATTTCATTAGTATTAATTTTTTTTTTTACAAAAAGCTAATGGTTTCGCAGGTTCCGCTGGTTCCAGAGGTTCTAGAGGTTCGCAGTCTGCTGATCCATAGTTTAGTAACACCCTTAAAGTGACAAACTTTTGGACTTATATTTTAGTTGGTGATGTTTATGCTGGAACTTCAAGGCGAATCAAAGGGTCTTTCTGTTGGCGGACTGGCAGTGATCAACAAATCAATGTCTCTAACAGTAAGTTCTCTGCTACCTCACTTGACGGTTTCTTTTACTTGTGAAATAAAAGCAGCTTACTCTTCTCACTGAAAAAAAAAACAGCTAAAATAAGTTGTTAACAGCGAATAATGCATTTACTTCCGTAACATTTTGTCGTCTTCTGTTCTGATCACAAGCTATTTCTCGTTTTTTCTTTGCTAATGGCATGATATTTCTCGTTCCAGATTGTCGGGGTAATTATTTCCTACTTTGCTGTTATGCTGTCCCTGCCAAAGCGATGATTTTAAAAGGAAACGTTTTGAAACAGAGAGAGCCATGTACAATAACAGAGTTACTGAGAAGAGACTAACTGGTTCTATCAGAAGGGCTTTGTTCAGAATTAATTAATGATCATATCCGTTAGAAATTACTATCACTTCATGCGGGAAATTCGCATCATTTGTACCCTCCATACAGAATATGTACATTTAACTCAAAAGTTAAAACATAGGTAAAAACATTACTAAGTTCTGATTGGCTAGAAATGAGTGTGATTCTCACATGACACGGATGCAAATTTGTAACACGAGTCTAAATTACAAACGGGCCTGCTAGGTAACAGTTGGATCACTTTAAATAATAGTCTATCAAAACTTTGAATTAGACAAATATTGCGATCTGTTTCAATCAATCAGTTGAATAAGCTTTGTATGTGAAATTAAAGCCCGTTCTTTCAAATCTTCACATGCTTGTTCTTCTGTCTTCCTTTTCATCACGTATTGTATTATTGATAAGTGAAGCTCTAGAAACCTTTTTAAACTACAAATTGCCGTGCATGCTCATGCCATTTTCCTTCTCTGAAAAATCAATTCTTTCTCATCTACACCAAATGCAAAATCTCGCTGAGAAGGAACAAGTCGCAATGTAAAAGCAGAAACTCAGCGGAAAACCTTGAGGTTAACGCATATTTTCACGAGTAATCAATTGATTTCTCAAAAAATTTACTCTTGCTTCGTTTATTCTTAACTGCATTTGAATGATCATCCTCTTAATCCTGAAGCAGTGTACTTCCTCAAACATTGAAGATCACGTAGGAACGTTCACAAAGTTCCTGACATGTTGTAATATGCTAAGTCAACTCCGACTTTCACATGTAAAGGAAGGTGAACTGAAAGGAATCTTGAAACGTAATCTTAAAAATAATTCCACGAGCACGTTTTATGTGATGTATCACGTTTTCGATAAATGCTTATCAGTGTCAAAGTAATATCTCCTGTAACGCTCGTTCTTTTTTTTTTTTTTTCTTTCTTTCATAGTAGCAAAGGTCAACCGTAAACTTGAGCTAACTTAAATCTTATCGACTTTACGTACGAAATGTACCGAGAAAATCTGGGGGTCGAATGTAAAAAAATTTCAATTGAGGAAGGTTTCTATTGAGGAAATAATCAAGATTGGAAGAACTATATTCATTCGATTCCGCATCAGAAACTTGCTAACCGTGATTGACAACTCATTTACAAGTCGAGAAGAAAACGCATTGATGCATGCATGCTCAAGAAACAACTAATTAAATAATTATAGTACATCGACTTTGATTATGATTGGAACGCTTGAATACAATTTTTCATGACCGTACCATGAACTGTGCTTCATAAGTTGATATCTGTCTGAAATCATGGTCAAATAAGAGATCGTTTTGTCCACTGCCTTAACTTCGCGTCAAGATTGCTTCCGAATTAGGAAAATAACACAACTTGAGACCGAAGTTAGAAAAGTTGGAGGGAAGTTAATCAGCGATTCATTTGCATTCAGTTTAGGAGAGTCGATTAATGTTAGCCACTCAACCGTCAGCTCCGAGATATTTTAGTTTGGATCAGTTCACTGACTGCGTGACAGGCGATCAGTGAACGGTTGAGCTGTAAATCACAATCAGGTGCGTATTTCACCGCAATAGGATCGTGCATTTCAAAAATTAGACATAACGCTGCGTTAAATAATGCTGGATATCCTTTCGGGTGACTAATCGTCTCTTCAACTTAATATATGGCTTGAAAGAATTATATCACCACTCACATAGAGGTGCAAGGAAAATTGTTCAGGAACTGAAATCTAGTGACAGCCGAGGTATGACTGCTGCGCTGTAGCTAATCCATGTTACAACGTTAATTCCCTCTTCGTTCCTTTATCTTCGTTCCATGTGTCAGACTCTCGTTATTTAATGAGGAGATCTGTGAGTTCGATAACTGACCCTTTTGGACTACCTGTGTTGTTAATCTCCCATTAGTGGTTTGCATTCGACCGTTGTTTAAAAACGTTACTTCCAATGATTTTTTGAAATATGAGGAAATCTGGGTCTCACGTTCCGGGAATCTATATTCAATGTTTTGTCCCACTTTTGTCTTCATTCTACAATTGGATTTTCTCAGCACATTTTACGCACTTATAAAGATTTGAAGTCAGATCTGCTGTGTATTTTTCGTTTGACCCAAGCTGCTCCTAAAACAATTATGCACGTAACAGGACTGGGAATCGAAATAGACAGATAAACAATGTAAACTTGATGTCATAACAAAAACATCAAATGGGGTGAAATTTGCAGGTCAAATGTTTTGTAAGATACGTTACAAGAATCCCTTCTGTCTATTTTCGTTTTTGGCTGAGAGGGAAGTTTAAACAGACCTTTTATTCTTACACCTTCTCAGAAACCGAGTTCGTGTTCCTAAGTGATCTAGTATTGTTCGAGGAAATGCTGTTTTAGTATTTGTAGACTCCATGAGCGTGATGACATCGTCAATGCAGAACGAGTTACTTACGAAGAGAGAATAATTCAAATATATTGTCTGATGTCTCCGAAAAAATGGTAATACCAGCTATTCTCCGTTTCAAGCAAACCGTAATCTAGTATGCTGGAAAGTGAATTCTGGGTTGAATTTAAAAATTCCACTTTATATGCCGTGGGACAAAGAAGCAAATACTATCAAAATAACGCGAGCTCAACCAATGTTAAGTGATGTTTGGTAAGGGCGTTGTAAAAATGAGGTAACTCTTTCTATATATATTTATCATTACTGTAGAATAAATGTGATAATAATTTTAACATACTTGTCGTCTGACTGGCGGTCAATTAGTCCTAAAATAGATAGTGGGCAAGCTCACGCTCAATGGAGATCAGAGCTATTGACAGCGAGCGAAAATCATCTTCCCTCTCAGTTTACCTATGTTTTTCCTCTGCTCACCCCGCCTTTTTCCTCGCCCCACTAACTGAGATCTTAGAGGAGCTACTGCTGCTAGAGAGCAGGATTTAATTAGCAATACAGCAAAAGCAGCGAGGCCCACAAGATTCGAGTCGGTGATCGAATTGCCAGAAGTCTGAGAGGGGTCCGTGCCAGATTCCTCGAAAAAGTCTCGTTGAGTCGGACCAAGTTGAAATGTAAAAGCAGAAACTCAGCGGAAAACTTTAAGATGAACTGTATATTTTCACTAGTAATCGATTGATTTCTCGAAAAGTTTACTCTTGCTTCCTTAATCCTAACGCCTGCACTTGACTGATCATCCTCTCAAAACTGAAGCAGAATATTTCCTCAGTCACTGAAGGTCACGTAGGAACGTGCACAAAGTTCCTGACATGTTGAGGTATGCCATTCTTTCTCATCTATACCAAGTTGCAAAATCTCGCTGAGAAGGAACAATTCGCAATGTAAAAGCGGAAACTCAGCGGAAAACTGTAAGGTTAACTTTATACTTTCACGAGTAATCGATTGATTTCTCGAAAAACTGTTCTTAACTGCACTTGAAAGATAATCCTCTTAATACTGAAACAGTATACTTCCTCAATCATTGAAGGTCACGTAAGAACGTGCGCAAAGTTCTTGTCATGTTGAAATATGTTATAAGTCTACTCCGACTTTCATATGTAGAGGAAGGTGAACTGAACGGAATCTTGCAACGGCGGAATCTTAGCAATAATTCCACGTGCAAGTTTTATGATTTATTGACGATTTCGCTGAATGTTTATCGGTGTCAAAGTAATACTTTCCGTTTACACTTTTCTTTCCGGTTGAGGGGATAGTACAAACGAACGTACACTTACTCAGAAACACAGAACACAAAATGCAGTACGTTAAACATTTCCATTTTAATTACTTTTCAAATCGATGTTGTGGATAGCCGAAATTGGACACCTGAAATCAAAGAAAATCGTGCACAAAACAGCATACTAAAATTCTCCGCGCTACAGTTCGCTTTCCTTTAAGGCTAAAGGCAAAGTAACAGTTAATTTTAGATTGCCTAACGTCATTGGGAATGCAGTACGTGCTTGAACTATCGAGGAAGAACTTCTTGATTATTTAAAGCCTCCAAGAGTTTTCAAAACTACAGTTGAATCGAACTACTAAGAAAGGAAACTTCGATCACTTGCCTGGTGCAGAAAGTTTTGAGAAAATTAACCTAGAAATCATGGTAACTTGATGAGTGTTGATGCACCGTTAAATTTTAGATACCTTTATTCTGATCCGTTTGGTTAATTTTTCTTATTTTTCAGGCCTTTCGTTATCTTTTAGTATTAGTACTTGCTGTTTTCACTATCCTGAATATTGAGGAAGCTCAAGGTAAGTCAATTTTCAACGAGTAAAGCTATTTTTTTTTTCTTTTTTTTTTCTCAGTGATTTGATTTAATAATTCAGAAACTCAAGGTGTAAATTCATTTTTATGACAAAAGATTTCATGTTGGTGTTTATAATTTAGAATATAGTTATGCATTGTGTGACTTGGACCGAAGCTAAGCTTGCAATCAATGTTTTGAAAGCTGTCTTAGGTGAACACACAGAGTCATGATTGTGAATGTTTCGCGATTTAATTTTAGGTAACTGCTATAAAACATGGAGCAGGTGCTCGGGATGGAGTAGCTGGGGCACTGGAAGATTGTGGAAGTCCTGCAATGATAGGTAAATATTGATTCACGAATTCTTCGTTTGTAACTTGATGTCATTGTGAGCAGGCCTGACTAGACCTGGCCGGAAATATAAACAACAAGCTATTCAGAAAAAGAAAATTAGCCACAAGTATTGAAAAGTAAAATCATGATCCGAGGAAATGGTCAAAGCTGAACAAATAAAACTAAATATATAGACAACTTGAAGCCAGGTTCAACTACGCGAGGATACAAAAAGGTGTAATAAACCAAGTCTAGTCATACAGAGCACAGCTAGCTGGTGTAACTGAGCTATTCGGGCGGTGTGCATTTCCAATTGACGTAGTCCTAAAATTAGGTTGTATTACAAGATTTAAGATTGTCACGAAGGGTTTCATTTTAATCCGCAGATGCAGAGAGCTGGGTTACTCTGGTGGAAGTTGTCAGCTCTGTCCCAGCACTTGTTGGATGAGCGACAAAGCTTACCAGTGCAGGTGTTTTGGAACCGGATCCTGTTGAAAACGCATCATGGTTGTTTGGAAAAACAACGACATGAATTTCAAAATATTGCAGCTTTTATAAAACAAGATAGATGATTATTTTTTCCTGTTTAATTTATAAAGCTCTGATTACGTAGAGTGGAGCATAGTGTATGCATAGCCATGTGAATCTTGTTTATGAATAAAATACTTTATCATATCGCTGGTTCAGTGTTACTCATGATTTGTTCCTAATTCCTCACGGAATAACGTGTTACAGCCTGACACCGGTATTGAATTTCTCCATACTGTTCTCTGTACTTTCGTATGGTTCTTACAAGGAGAATTTCTCTAACAATGAATATCTTCTTTCGTTCTCGAGAATTTCCTTTATTCTAATGATCCTAATGGGAGAGTAATACTGTGGGGAGAAATTAGATGCTTATCACTCTTAGAGGTTAAGGGGTCCAGTTGCATTCCTTGGCGTCCTTTCCAGTCTTTCTTTTCATGTAGTTATTTGAATTTTGGTTTGGAGGAGATGTTTATTGCACAGCCTTGCAGATATCGGGATACGAATGAGTGTGTTGTGTATTTGATCATTTTGAGAGTTGTATGGTCAAACCACTTTTTAATACTGTTTTGAATATGAAAAATTTTAAAGCGAGCTTACGAAACAAAATTGCCAACAATTACAGGACTTAACTAGTAGAGTTCTTCCGTTTTTCAAAACTTAAGACTAATAAATTTAACACTAATTGAGACCACTAATTATTTACCCTTCGCTGTCACTTACTTTTTTCCAAAGAAAATGGAGTCTCATCGGTTATTGTGAAATCATGATACTTGATCTGCAATCAGCATGAAGAGAGCTCACTGAGAGATTTCGTGAAATCCGTTATTTCTCATCCACTTCATGGCTTGTGATTGGTGGATTTGGCTGAGTGGACTTAGTATGATTGGCTGCTTCCCTGAATTGTCCGATTACAGCCAACTGTCCGATTACAACTGTACGGAATGGTCAATGAAAAATTAAACAGCTTATGCACCAATGATAAGTGAATTTGGAAAAGCAACGAGAAGTAAGTCGTTTCATGTAAGGTATACGTGGTTCAACAATCAAACAATCATGAGAAAGTTTTACTGCTATTCACTTTTTAATTTGTGCGTTAAAAACTCGTTTTAACAAAATGTTCTATTTTTCAATTTTATTTTCCACTTTGTTTTCTATTATGTTTAGTTTTCCATTTGTCAACTTCATGTTTTATTCTGGTTTTCACCCATGAGACTGGGGAATTGTGCCCTTTTACTTTCATGCTTCTTGATAGGGGTTTCTTTTGAATTGTCTGCTACTGACTCGTACGTCATTTGCACAAAGGTAAAGTTTGCCCTATAGAGAAGTATCAGTCTTCCTAGATGACATTGTCGGATTAATGACCATTAATATACTTCGAAAGGATCGTGCGAGTTGAAGGCAAATGAGGGTTTCCACCTTAGATATTACACTCCTTGCCATTCATTTCCTAAATAAATATTTCACCCTCTGCTGGAAGATCTCTTCGCAAAATTCTTGCTTTTCTGTTTCAGGTTAGAGAAACTCATCTTAAAGAAGACGCAGGAAAAGGAGAAAAGAAACTTCCTATAAAGAGTAAACTTTCGTAAATAGTGAGACAGCCCACTTTTAGGCCAATTAAGAAGACTAACAATAACTACATCGATGAAAAACAGGTTTATGAATGTGTGGGAATTTTTTGTTGTTTTAAATAGTTAATTTCGGAAAAAGGATCGATAGATGGCCAATTTTACTTGATAGTCACTTACAAATCGCTTTTTGACTATAGCGCTCTTAAAAACAGTGTGGATAACTTGAAGTCAGGTTGTAAAGAGTTAGGAACCTCGTGACGTATCCCAGATTTTGTCATTTCAATCACGTTATTCCGTGAGGGATTAGGATTAGGCTGAACCAGCGATGCAACAAAGCATTTTATTCATTCGTGTTATAAAATTCAAAGTCAAGTGGAAAGTTATTGTGCCGCTGAAGTGAAACGATTTCAGCTCTGAATCCTCGTAAATTTGATGGAAAAATACCGAATCATCTTCACATCAAGGAGAGAACTTCAAGAGGAGAAGTTCATTTACAGTTCGGGCCATGGACACTTTTGTCGATACCATTTCCTTTGATATGATTGGCCCAGACAAAACTAAAACAAACTGATGTGACCGAGAGAGGATTGGAACGATACTTTTTCTTGCTATCTCCCTCTTGGAGGGCATATTGTAATGCGAAGGAGACGGCAGAACAGATTTAAAAATTTTAAGAGACATCATTGACTCATTTTTTCTTTTATTTTCGATAGACATGTCATCTCTATTCTTGCCCCCCCGTTATGTGTTTCACGTACACGTACGAGCTCTCCGCAAAAAAAATGATCAAATTTGATATGGATCCTTTCCGGTGAGATGTCATAGTGACATCCGTATAAGTAGCGACCGATGAAACAACATGTTAGAGGAAATGTCTCGCACTAGAGGTTGTTCTGCAAGAATTTCAGGGAACACACTCAGACCAGCTTTAGCCGGTCTTTGGCTTTTGCTTGATTTGAGGGCGCCATCTATATTTTTCACACAAGAGTAGTCTTTTTCGCGATGAAATCTTCGCAACAAAAAAAAAATCAAACTCGATACCTTTCCGGTGAGATGTCTAAAGGACACCTCGTGGAAGGAAGCAACTGATGAAATAACATATTTACTTCAATCTCATCTGCAATTCCTTGGGATGAATTTCCTCAGAGTCCTGATCGATATTATTTTAAATTAAACCGAAAGCTCACTTTTGAATAAGCTTTTGTAAGGCCGTCTTACTCGACAGTTTTTTTAGGGGAAATTACATGAAAAATCTGAAAGCCAAAACATGGCAAAGGATCGGCCTTGCAGGGTTTGCTTTGAGACATACACGGTCTGCAGCGCATGGTTAGGTTTAATTTTTTAGTGAAAAATTTTTAGTGAAAATTTTTTAATAAAGAATGTCTTGTAGAGGACATCATAGTAATGCAGAAATTACCTCGAAAAACACTTACTGCGCATTTTGTTGCGCAGGCAAAGTGCTGAACTTTTTCTTTCTTTTGCTTTATTGAGGGGAGACGATGGAGACCAGATTAAAATTTGGCTGTTCTTTCTCCATTTCCTTAACATTTGTACTTGAAACTTGTTGCGATTTTTGCGCAAATTGTGCTGTGAAAAACAAAGTGTGACGTCACGACCGTGTTTCGTACCTCCATCTGAACACATTAATCAACCGATAAGAGCGCCCGCTTTATCGCTTCACGGATTTTTCGGAACCAACATAGTGACCAGCTTCCAGTTGGCTTGTTAGCTCAATTGGTAGAGCACTGCGCCGGTATTGCAAAGGTCATGGATTCAAATCCCGTACAGGCCTGAATTTTTTTTCAGGCCTTATTTTCACTACTGCTCGAGTAGTGTTCATTACTGCGAAGATCGCTTTCATATTTACGTCTTCATCCGCAGTTCACATATATGATTTTCATTTATTCACAGGTGTTTAAAATATTTTATAAAGCAAAATACGTTTTCCAATGTTGGATGAAAATTGTTTTTACTAAATGATCTTTCCGTGTAATTTAACTGTTCTGATAGCTCATCGTAAATGCGCGTGCTACAATGGCTTAGTGATACCTACTGATCATGAACAATAGAGTGGTTTAGCAAGAGGACGGGAACATCATTTCAGAACGGTCAAGTATTGGAGAAAAGACGACAATGGAAAAACAATGAATTACCATATGGACCAAGGCTTTGTTTTAGAATAGAAGGGATAGGTTTCTTAAGAAACTGTGGTACTGTATCAGTGGGGGTGATACAAGAAAACTTGGTTTTATCAACCAAGTTGATAATGTAAATGAACACCGTTAAGAGTTACTAAAGCTGAACGTTACCCCTTCGCTAAACCCAATTCGCTCTGACGAAGAGCCAGCGCTCGATACGGAAACTCCTCATGGTAGCCGACTTGTTTTATAATCGTATGGGGTTAGATGGAAATCCTTCCGAACACTTTTAAAATTAAATTTTTAGTGTCCAACAAACTCACCCTTGTGCGCGGATAATCTGGACACGACTCTATTTCGACTCCCGGTGTTAGCGTTGCCGTTCTCCCCATCAAGTTCAGGACGTCATTTCGCTGGTTTTCCCGTCGTGATCAAAACGCCTAGGATTTGCGTTAATTGTGCACTTATAAACGAGATAATGCTGTTTGGAATGATTTCAGAACTCATTTCCAGGATAACCAGGTTCCTTTTTTTGTTTTATTCGGTGAGTTTGTGAGAATTTACCGCTACATTTATTCTGGATTCCCGAAAGGAAACACGATCGTCAGCAAGCGATCTAAGATTTTAGGGCTCAGTTACCTCTTGTAATTGAGCGTAGCTTTAAGCAACGTAAGGGCTTTTCTTTGATACATTTCCTAAACCATGTATGAAAACTCTAAGAGCGGGTGCTGTTAATTTTATCGTGAATTAATTCATCAATAAATTAAACTTTCTTCATGTTGAAGTTTATCAAAATGAAACAACACGAAGGTTACCTGCTATATTATTAAGTGCTATTTGTTGTCGTTGTAGTATGAACCGTGATTAAGAAGTGTTCTGCGAATTGAAGTCAGAGATAAAAAAAATTTGAGAATAGCTCGGGTTTGCACAGACAAGAAAGTCATCTACGAAAGAAAATAACAATCAACTTGATCTGGGCACGGCTTTCTAAATCTATTAATTTGATTCAGTATTGAACGACGTTATTCGTTAAAAAAATTAAATTAAACAAAAACAAAATAAAGCAGGAACGAATTCTGGTTCCTCATTCTAACCGTTTCGTTGGTGACTAGTTTGAGTGCATTTCATTCGTTCATGGTTAAATGGGAACTCATTGTAAACAACTCCATCGTTGGGTCGCTTGATCTCTACATGTTTTCGCTATAACTCCTGATAACTCCGTTCAAAATGCATTGCAACTCTAAGAAGGTGCTTAAAAGAG